GAGCCAGTTCTTCGGCGAGACGATGGCGAATCGCTTCACGTTGGTCTTGCGCGCTTCGACGCCAACCGACCGCCGAGAGGAGGGCTCGTCTGCGCACTCGAGTATGATGCGGTGGTACCAAACCTGCCGCGCCTCCGCCCACAGCACCGGCCTCGAGGTCGGCCGGCAAGCCGGGCTCGGGCAATCGTGAGGCATGGATGCTGGTGAGGCGGCTTTGGATGTATTTGGCGAAAAACAACGACGGACCTTCGACCGAGCAGAACTGATCGCAGGTTCGCATGCAAGTGCGAGCGTAAAGGACGCGGAACACGTCGGCCAAGTAGTCTCCGATGTTGGAGAGGTAGAGGAAGACGAGTGGAATGCCGACTAGAGCGTAGATCAACGTGATGAATTTGCCCATTCGAGTCTTCGGGGTGGCATAGCCGTAGCCTGGGGTTGAGGGTGGACAAAGGAAAACAGAGGGGCACCGAATCAAAACGCTTCAGAGACCGTGTTTGCGGAGCGAAATAGAGACAATCGTTTTTTATTGCACATGCATACCATTTCCGGGAGACTTCAGTTGGTATAAAAGGTGATCTCACCGGACGACGACGGCAGATTGGTGATGTACTATTACAATCAGCTTTGAGATACGAAGAGAAACTGGGTTTAGGTGAATCTCTCAGAGATAACATTGTTGGGGGGACTTTTATTTCGTATGAAAGTGGATGAAGAAGAGATTCGTTGGTCGATCTCACCAGATAAGGACGGATAAATCTCGTTGTACTGCAGCCGTTTGGCTTTTATACGATGCTCATGTTGACACAAACCACGAGATTTCTTCTCTCGTTTCAGGTAAAAACGTGCTGACCTTTCGTCCATCAAATGATGGACATCATCAGAGCTGGGTGTCATTCTTGTAAAAGTCTCACGTTAAAACTGGGCCGAGAACACTATTCGGTTCTATCTTACTTCTTATATAGACTCAATTGAGTCAAAAGTAAATTAAAAACCTAGATAAATAG